CATGAGTTTGGGCGTGAGTTACACCCACATCAAATTTTAGTCTCTCTGTTCTCTTTTTTAAAAAGATTTTTAAAAAATTTATTCATTAGAGACAGAGAGAGGCAGAGGGAGAAGCAGACTCCCCGAGGAGCAGGGAGCCCAATGCGGGACTCAGTCCTGCGACCCTGGGATCATGACCTGAGTCGGAGGCAGACGCTTACCCGGCAGAGCTACCCAGGCACCCTCATCTCTCCGTTCTCTGATTGTGTGGCCTGGATTATCTTACTTAACCTTCCCCAGCCACTGACTCAGAGGGAGGCTGTGAGGTTTAGTGATGCCGTATCTGGCACACGGGGGATGTTCAAAAAACCATAACACTTATCAGGGCTTCCAGGGAGAGTTGAGCAAGCTGTGCACTGCACACCACACCAGAAGGACATTCACACCGTGGACCTCGTAGATATTTGTTGTACAAACTTTCTGGCCGATGATGGTGAAGGCTTGCTCTAACTAAACTGTTAGAATCTGATGATATTTTGAGAGGAAGTATTGGAGGAATAGTGTCATTCATATAAAGGCACCATGGATGTCCTTGGCAGCCCTACTTGGTATTAATCTTCTCTTCCAACCACGAATCCGTTTCTTCTTTCCATTGACCCTAGTTTTTGAGCAAGCGCCTGTCCTAGCAGCCCAGGGATGCTGATGAGGATGGGATGGACCTGGGGACGGGGCCCCGTGTGGGGGGCGTCCCCTGGTAGCAAGGCTTCCCTCGTCTTCTCTCTTCTGCAGGTCAATATGGTGGTCTTAGGCAAGCACCTGGGCATTCCCAAGCCCTTTGGACCTATCATCAACGGCCGCTGCTGCCTGGAGGAGAAGGTTCGCGCCCTGCTCGAGCCGCTGGGCCTACACTGCACCTTCATCGACGACTATCTGTTCTACCACGAGCTGCTCGGGGAGATCCACTGCGGCACCAACGTGCGCCGGCAGCCCTTCTCCTTCAAGTGGTGGCACATGGTGCCCTGAGCCCGCCTCCGCCCGCCATCCCCTCCGCCCACCTGCCAGGGAGCCACGCCAGGGTGACGGCGAAGACCCTCCAGCCGGACTCCGGCCTCTGAGGGGAGCCCCTGGCGCTTCTTCCCGAGCGCCTGCAAACATGCTGGCCACCGCGGGGCCCGGGGATACGGGGATACGACCGTGGACACCACACACACACCCCTCCCTCTGGAGGGGCCTCCGCGGCCCAGGGAGGACTGTCCTCATTCCTCCCTCCGCCTTCCTGATCTACCACTCCTAGAGGTTCTAGAAAAGAGCAATGGCCTTAATGTGTTCACGGCCGGCTGTGCCTGGTCATTCTAAGTAGCTCCCCCTCTGTTCTGCTGTTCCTCCCGTGTCGGCACCAGGAAGGGGTCCCAGAGGGCCTGGGCTCTGGGGTGGGGGCGTGGGCCGCAGGCATCCGTGGTTCTTATACGAGCAGGAGCAGGGAGGTGAGGCACCGTCTTTACTCTACCAGCTGTCCTGGGACCTCCCGGGACCTCTCAGCCATGTTTATAGAGACAAATAAGGACAGGAAAACCCGGCATCTGAGGGCCTGTTTAAAAAAGAAAAGGCAACAAAACCCCTTTAATACCTGACTCCATCCTTAGAAGGGTGCTTGTTACCTGGTTAGAAAGCCTTTAATTACGAGTGCTGGCTGCTTCCGGCCCCCAAACACTGTGAGGCTGGAGAGAGGCCTCAGGGGGACACACAGAGGCAAGCTGGCAGGAGGCCAGGGTGGCAGAGGAGGCCAACGCCTGAGGACGAGCCGCGGGGCCTCGTCCCCACTTCGGATTTTGGACTCTGGATGCAAGACGGGGGGGGGCTGACCGTTCCAGATGTCACAGGGGGCAGGGGCCCCGATGTTAACAGAGGGTGGGGGGCCATTAGGTTATCTCTGAAGGTGGGGTTTAATTTCCTTTAATTGTCTTTAATTATTCCCCTTGGTCCCGCAGGCAGTGGGAGGGAAGGCTCGCCCCGTCTCTCTCAGCAGCTCGGAGACCCTGCATGTAGCCTGGGTTTCCGCTGTGGAGTCAACCCCATAGCAGGCCTATATCCCCCCCCATCCCCCCCAAAGAGGGCAAGAGAACTGCCACGGGGGTGGGGGTTGGTTAAGAGGCTGGTCCCCGGTGAGGTCACCGGGACGTGCACAGGCAGGCAGGCTTGGCCAGTGCCGGGCAAGCGGTGGCCCCTGCCCCAGGCAGGCGCAGGCACAAGGGAGCCAGCCTGCCCCCTCCCCGCCATTGCCAGGGGCTCTCAGCCCCAGGCCTCCACCAGCGGGGTTTTCAGTGGCCCCTGCTAAGACCAAGACCAGGCCAGCCAGCCACTGTTAAACTCTGTGAGCCACAGAACACTTAGCAACCAGAAACTTCCATGGAAACCGGACATATGAAGCGGATGAAACAGAACTGCTCTGGTTTAAGATGTCAGGGGTGGTGTACCCGGGTTCTCCCCTTCCAGAAGATTCTGGGGACCCCATTTGGAAGCCTCTGGTCGAACCTTTGCACTTTCTGCTCATAACCATGACGCAGCCTAGACTGAGCCAAGGAGAGAAGGGAAGTTCTTCGGGGGCCAAGGGCGTGTAGCCAGGGTTGAGATTCCCCAGGGAAAGGCTGTGGGTGGAGGGGAATGGGCATTACGGAGGGATCGGGAGGATGGGGAGCAGGCCTTCTCAAGCTACCCTGAGTGTGGGAAGCTCTGGAATTAATGCTAGAGTTGTCCGAGGGCCCTGATGACCCCCACTGAGGATGTTCCGGTGACCAATCATCTCCTACGTGATTAATAAAAATGTCAATATGCATTTCTTCAAGTGGCTGCCTCCTTAGTTTCTATTCGTTGGGCTGCAGGGAGGAGGGAAGGAGGCGGGGGAGAACCTTCCTTCCCGTTCCACCCACCATGCCCCAGCTCCTTGGCTCAACTGCGGGCCGTGGGCAGCTCCTGCCTGGCTGGGAGAGCCCCCAGGGCCGGTGCCAGGCAGGCAGGCAGGCAGGCAGGCTGATTCAGCGGGATGACTAGCACAGGCCCATGGCTCTGAGGCCAACTGCCCTGCTGAGATGAGTATCAGAGGAGAGGTGGGTCCTAACTCTTCCTTCCCTGGGCTATCTCTCTCTTCCATCTCTCAGATGCAGGTGGGCTGGGCCCTACTGGCAGAGGCAGGAGACTCTTCAGTGGGACTGGTGCCCAGGGCCAAAGGCCACTGTGATCCCCTTTCATTCCTGCCTCTAAAGTGACTGGGTTACCCAGCCTCAGTGTTCTGGTTTCAGGAGCCTGAAAATATCAGCCCTCTCACCCTGTGCACAGGCTGCTGCCTCAGGTGGCCCCCTTTGATGCTCATGCACTCATTCACTTTATTCTATCTTTTCTTGTGGACTAAAAGGCAAAACGTTGCTGCCCATCAGTCATTGACACTTTAGTCTGAACGAACCGCAGATGTAGTTCTACCAGCTGGTATCAACCGGGTAGAGGCGAAGGCCTGGCTCTACTTGCAAAGGGAGATTACAGGGCTCTAAGTCGGAAGCTGGTCCTGCCCCAGCACAGTGGGCCGGTGCCCAAGGGAAGCCCTTACTTTCTGCACCGATTCCCCTGCTGTGTTCATAAGCAGGTAGGGAGATAGTTTGGACATCCTTCTGAGCCCTGACTCTTACCCAGAGCTGAGTCAGCCATCACACCATTTTCCAGCCAAAAAAAGTAAAGCTGTCATTGAATCTAGCAGCCCAGCGGCTCTTCTTGAGAACATCCTTCCCAGACTCTGGGAGAGAAGGGCATCAGCCTTGGAGACCCGCCGAGATCCTTGAACGGCTGGGAGTTCACCCACTGGGAACTCTGGGGAGCAGGTCCCAGTCCCTCCCTTGCCTCAGACTGGCAGCACCGCTAGAGAGAAGGGAGGAAGCTTCATCTATCCAGCATCTTTAGAGCCTGGCTGGGTAGGGTGTGTCCCCGCCATTATCTCTGCCCGGGTGGTGATGAGCCGCATTTTCTAGAGGTGAGGAAACCAAGGGTCTGAGAGAGGGAACGTAACCACCCAAGGTCATGTAGCTGGTGCATGGCGGAGTCTGGATCTGAACCCAAGACCCCTCTGCCCAGAGCCCTTGCTGCTTCAGGTGGCTGAATACCCACTCTGGCCTCAGTTTCCCCGCCTGACAAGTGAGCCTCCCTGCCCTGATGTTCTAAGCTCTTTCTAGCCGGAAAGGGTTTAACTCGCACCACCCGCCCCTTCCACAGGCCTTTGGCATGTGAAAATAATGACAACGCCAGTAATAAAATAATGCCGAGCTCCACACTACAACTCTGCCCACGTCGTCCCATGGAAGCCCTGCAACAGCATTTTCAGAAGCGACACGTGAGGGACACAGCAATGAAGTGACTCGCCCACCCCGCGCAGCCAGGATGTGGTTGAGGCAGGGCTGAATCCAGTCCTGCTTCTACACTCCATGCTCTTAGGAAAAAGTCTGCTGTTCCTCAAAGTTTCTCAAAATGCTCTGGGGTGCTTATTAAAAAAAAAAAAAAATCCACATGCCAGGCGGTACCCCCTTCCCGGCGCGTCAGACTGGAGGCGGGGCCTGGGAATCTGCATTTTCACCGGCTCCTTCAGCAGGGTAGAGAAGCTCCCCACCAAACCAGATCATCTCTGAAAATGCAGGAAAGGGGGTGAGGAGGAGTGTGGAAAGGGAAGGAGGCGCCCAGGTCAATAACCCACATCTTTGCCTCCTCCACCTCTCAAAGCCCTCGTGGCCCAGCCAGATACCTGTGGGGACTTGCTCCCTTCGAGGGAGAAACTGACTCCCTCCATGCTGGGGGCGGAGCAACAGGCTCATAAGCAAATGATGGGTTCCTTCCGGCCAATTCTGAGCTCCCGGCTCTGGGAAGGGGCTGGGCTTCCAGGACTGGAACCAATGAGCTAGCACCCCGGGCTGAAGAGGCGGGGCCGGTGTCCTTTAAACCACACGTCAAGGGATCTGCGGGGCAGTGTTGGGTTTGGTGGCCCAGGCCCAGTCCCAAGGCCAGCATGTCACTGCAGAGAATCGTGCGTGTGTCCCTGGAGCATCCCACCAGCGCCGTGTGTGTGGCTGGCGTGGAGACCCTCGTGGACATTTATGGGTAAGAGCCAGAGGCCTGGGGGTCTGCGGGCCGTTGGTGCTGAACCCCTTGGTCTCTTCCCGCAAGCTGTACAGGGCTTCCTCGGGGCGCAGGCCTGGCTCCGCTGCCCTCCCCCAAGTCAGGGGACGTGCAGTGGTTGAGCTCTAGTCCAGGGCCTTGGAGGGTGCTGGTGTCATGGGGGTTTGGGCACAGTGGAGGACCCTGTAGGCTGGGTACACAAGAATAGGAAGAGGTGTGTACCCCAGACATGGTCCCCAGCTTATGGGCTCTGCAAAGAGCATCAGTCATTTCTTTAGAAATCATTTATGCTTATGTAGCACTTCCTGTGTGCCAGACACTGTTCGAGGCGTGGCAATCTCCTTGAATTTAATCCTTGAACTTAAACGCTTCAGTTTAACCTCACAACAACCTCTGAGCTAAGTTTTGTTGTCAGCTTCATCTCATTTGATGGATGAGGAAACTGGCACAGAGAGGGCAAGCCATTTGCTTAGGTCACACAGTCACTAAGTGTCAGTGCCAAGATTCAAACCCATTCATGGTCAAGTGTCTTATGATTTTAGCTGTGTGCCACTTGAAGAGGAAGAATATGGTTTCCTCCATCCATTCAGAGCCCACCTGATATGGCCCTATTGTGTGCCCTGGCCATGTCCTTAAAGCCAGTGGCTGGAGGTAAGGCCCCACCTTCTCTCTCTCCCAGGAAGAAAAGGAGAGTTTGGGCAGGGTTTTAGGAACTGGGCTTTGGGAACCACTGGGGAGCTGGCTATGTAGCTTTTTGGGGAGACTCCAGTGGTCCCAGCTCCAAGGCTGAGCTGAGGATGCAGGTAGGAAGGGGATGGGGAAGAGAGAAGGCAGAACTATGTCACCCTTCCCTTGTCAATGGTCTTGCACCCTCTCCTCAGACCAGGTTTTGAAACCTCAGCAGTACTGACGCGATAATTTCCAGCTGCAGAGGGTGTCCTATGCACTGGGAGATGCTGAGCAGTGCCCTCTACTTCTACGGACCAGATGTCCGTGGCACACCCCCACTAGTGACAGCCAAAAATGTCTCCAGACATTGCCAGTTGTGCCCTGTAAGGGGTGGGGGGAATCACACCCAGTTGAGAGCCAGTAACCCAGACTAAGACTTTAAAAATTGGAGCGAACTTAGTCGGAAGCAGAGATGGGGTTGTCCCCAGAGAGTTAGATGAGAAGGGGTGAGGGGCTGGTTATGGGAGGGAACCAAGTCTGGAGCAGACCTGGCCGAGCTAGGCATGGGGAGCTAAAGCCTGGCTGATGGTGGGTGGGCAGTGAGAAGTAGGAAGGGGATTTGGAGGAGGGCACAGCCACAGAGGCTGTACCAGGAGGAGTGACAAGGGAGGAAGGTGTCTGGTGCCACCCCCTCCTGGAGCGCTGCGTGCCCATGGCCGTGACTCACCTGCGTTGGCTGCCTCATGCCCGTCGGGCAGATGTGCCTCCAGTTTGACCTGCCCGGGAGGCTCAGGGCTAGCTCCTCCCCTGAAGAGCTTCCTTAGACGATGGAGGACGAATTGGGGCTACCAGAGGCAAAGGCAGCAGTGTCTTGCGGGTATGAGAATGGATGGGCCATGTTGGGGTTCTCAGAGGAGACTGGGGGGGACAGCCACAGGGTGCAGAGCAGAGCCTCAGGCACCCTCAGATGAAGGATTCTTGGACTGCTATGACCAGACCATCTTGGGGGAGAGGGAGAGCTGCTGGCCCATTCATTCACACATTCATCGAGTATTTCTTTGAGGTCTAGCGTGGGCCGGGCACGGGGACACAGCGGTGAACAAGGAGGCGTGGTCCCTGCTCTCTGAAAATCCTGTCCCTTCAGAGTCCTATGAGAGGCTGGACCACCTCACGCTTGGTGGAAGGATTCCTGTCTTGCTAGGGGAGAGGGACTGGGTCAGCTCTATAGTCCCTCCCAGCTTGGAGATGTCACCGCAATCCTGGTGCTCACACGGCGGGCCAAGAAGGGAAAGGACAGTGGGTGTGCTGGCTCAGTCCTGGCTCTGTGATGACTTAGCAGCTGTCTGACTTTGGGAAAGTCACTTAACTTCTTGGAGGCTGTTTCTTCACCTGTAGGATGGACATGGTCCTGTCAGCGATGATACTTAGAGACGACTCCGCACCAGGCGCTGCCCGAAGTGCTTGGTGTTTAGTAACGAATTCTCCCAATTCCATGAGGGGGAACTATCATCATCCCTGTCCTATAGATGAGGAAATAGAGCCACAGAGAGGTTGAGTAACTCGCCCCATGTCACACAGCCTGTGAGGAGTGGGGGAGCCAGGCTGCAACCCAAACACGTTGACCTTCACTTCAGAGGACTCTGGGGAGGATTGAATGAGACTGTGTGTATGGAGCACATCCCATCCTCCTCCTCCCCCTCCCTCTTCCCCTCCCTCCTCCTTCTTTTTCTCCTTCCTCGACTTCTCCTTCTCCTCCTCCCACTTCTCCTCCTCCTCCTCCTTCTTCTTCATCATCATTTTAAGGCTCTGCCCAGCCCTTCAGACAGTGGAAAGCCTCAAGTGTCTCCACACCTGCCATCTACAAGATGGGTACAACCTCTAAACCCTACTGGGAGGAGGAGGAAATGAGAAAAGAGAAATGAACATAAGCCAAGCAGTCAGGGCAGGTTTTCGGGAGGAAGGGCCCCAACCAGAACCTTGAAGGATGAGCGCAGGCAAGACCATTGGGGAACTCTGTCTGTGGCAATGGACTGAACCCTATCTTCTTGCCTTCCGTTGAGTGGGAGATGACCCTGACTTTTTAAGGGGGTTTTGGTTTCCTGAGCAGAGATTTCTAGGGGGAAAGGGAAGGGAGGGAGATACACAGGTGTGCTGAACCTCCCTGGGGACAAATTTTTTTTTAAAGATTTTTTTTTATTTATTTGACAGACAGAGATCACAAGTAGGCAGAGAGGCAGGCAGAGAGAGGGAGGGAAGCAGGCTCCCTGCTGAGCAGAGAGCCCCATGTGGGGCTCGATCCCAGAACCCTGGGATCATGACCCGAGCTGAAGGCAGAGGCTTTAACCCACTGAGCCACCCAGGCGCCCCCCTGGGGACAAATTTGTGGCCAGGGTTGAAAACCACTGCCCTGGTTGGACAAGCTAACAACTCCTGTCCCCTCTTGCTCAGCAGAGACAGGTCAATGGAGTGAAAAGGCAGAGGGCATCTGGGGGCCAGGATTCCTGCATTTTAATCCTAGCTCAGTCATCCTTTGCTACCTCATCTTGAGCCACTTTCTGTGCCTTCTTGGGCCCTGATGAGGCTGACATTGAACACTGGGTTGCACGCTTTGCTCATGGAGGTGTCTGAACCCCGTCCCTGGTTTGACAAAGTGGCTCTCCATCTGCTTCCCCCAGCTTGTGCTGTGTGAGAGCGCTGACCTGCCTGGGCAAAGCGGGGCCCTGGGAGGCTGGTGCATCGCCAAATCTCCCAGTGACCTGGGCTTTAGGAAAAGGGTTCATGGGGCCACCATTTCTCAGGGGTACATTTTCTCAGTGGAAGAATGTAAGACTAAGGAGGGGCCGTGGTATTCTGACCCAGGTGATGGTGAGGCCAGAAGACTTGGGACCTGGGAACCTCGCTGGCCATGAGTACTGCCACCCAGAGCCAGAGCTGTCTGGGCCTTGATGTTCTCTGCCCCCGTGGACCACGTCAGTGGGGACCATGGTGGTCATCTCATCAACCTGTCTGTTTCAGCCACAAAGACCTTTCCTATCAGTTTTTTGGCTCTGAAATGTCTGGTTTCATTTTCCCAGAGGCCAAGACCCTGAGCCCATGAAAGGGGAGGATGGGTTAGGGTTTGCAGAGGAGCGGGGGATCAGAATTGGTTGAGTCCCAGCTCCATCACCGACCAGCTGTGTGACTCTGGGCCAGTCACCTGTCATCTCTGGCCTTGTTCCCTCATCTGTACAGTGGGGATAATAGGACCGACAGTGTGTGGCTGTGGGGATACCTCTGTCACCATTGTCACCATCATTGTCCTCACCATTGAGGGGTGACATAGAGCAAAAAGGAAGACCTGACTTGTCTTGATTCCTAGGACGAGGTGGGCTCAGCCTGAGTCCTTCCCATGCTGCCCAGGGAGACAGCCCACCCTTAGCCATGGTCCTCAGACGTCACTGGGCATCAGTGTGGCTTGAAGGACAGGTTCTGGGGACGCTGCCAACAGCACAACTGGGTCTGGACTCTGCATTTTCAAAAAATAGGTCTGAAGTTGGCCACCGTGATGGTGACTAGCTGTCCTGGTTTGCCCAAGACCTTCTAGGTCTTCGCACTGGAAGTCCTACACTGCACGACACACACGGTTTCTGACAAAACAGATCTGTTGGTCACAGTAGCATGCTTCCCCTCCCCCTTTGTCAACTGGACTTGTAGGGCCTGCAGGGGGGCCCCTGGACGGGCCAGAGCTGCTCAGTGTGGGGAAGGCCCTCAGCCCGTCCCGTGTGTGGACAGCTTCAGTGAGGGAAAGCTGAGCTGGGCCTGGGGCACAGTCTAGAGCAGCACACTGGCAGCTCGGGGTGGACAGGCTGGAGGAAACTTTGTCCTGCTGAGCCTCTGGCTTCTTCCCCTGCCCTCCACAAGATGGGAAGTCCAGACCCTCCTGTACCTGAGGCAGGCTCTTCTCCCAGAAGCCACCATTTTGATCTTCTTAACAGCTTCCCTGATGGGGCGTGAGCGCCGGACTGGGGGAGTCTGGACCCCTACCTTCTAGTCCCTTCTCTTCTGGGCCTCAGTTTCCCTGGAGTAAAGTAAGGCATGAGTTCAGGTGCCTTTAACTTTCACTTGTCTCAAGCGTTTACATGCACTGACTCCTTTAATCTCTACTTTATAGACGGAGACACTGAGGCAGAGGGAGACCAAGCCTCTCCCTCAAGGTCACATACCTAGTGGGTGGTAGGGCTGGGATTTGGACCCAGCTTGCCCACACCCGCAGGCTTAACCCCCTCACCTCAGCTCCAGGGTGTTGTCCCTCCTGATCAAGAACTTTTGCTGGTTCCCCATGACAGCCCGAGTTTACCCTTGACCTCCTAAGGCTTCACTGTGAAAATAATTCCCCTCAGATGCTTCTCCTCCTCGTCCTTGGTTCCCCTGCCTCTCTCCAGGAAGCTGCCCCCAGCCCCCCGCCCCAGTCCACCCTCTCAACCTGCCTCTGTCTGCTCATTTCCCATTTCATAATTTACTTGACTATCACCCTTCCCCCATCTCGGATGGGCGGTTTTCCAAGCCTTTCCCATTATCTCATCTGAGTCTTGCAATTGCCCGTGAGGTTGACCAAATGGGTGTCATCATTCCACTTTGTAGGGAGGCTGGGTCATTTCTCAGGGTCACCTGGCTTAGGTGCGACCCAGCCCAGTCTAGAATCTGACTCTTGACTCTGGTCCTGGCACCACTGGGCTCTCAGTATCTTCCCCCCAGGCCTAGCAGGATCTTCATCAGATCCCTGGTGCCTCATACAGGGAGGTACCCCAAACCCAGGGGCTGGGGCGGGGGAGCTGGGTGGGGTCCCCTACTAGAAGGATCATCAAGCTGCTCACCCCGAGCTCACGGGTGCCCAGGGTCCAAGCAGCAGTTTGAGGTTAGGGGAAGTTTCATGAAAAGTGTATAAGCCTCCTGGGGAGCTGGAGGCCTGGTGACTCAGGGAGTGGGGCTGAGGGTGCCCCCTGGGGTGGGGTGGGGGGGCCCTTCATACCCAGTCTATCTCCACGTGTCTCTGTCTTTCTGGCTCTCCATCTCTCTGGGTTTTTCTACATCTCTTTGTCTTTCTCTGTCTCTGTCTTTCTCTGTCTCTGTGTCCCCATGCTCCTCTGTCCAGGTTCTTTATGTCCCATGATGGGCCTGGCTCCCATACCCAGGGCACAACAGGACCGAGGGTACCACCAGCCCTGGAAATTACAGGCTTTGGGAATAGGGTTGCCAGATAAAATCCAGGATGCCTAGTTAAATTTGAAATTCAGATAATAAATTAATATTTTTTTAGTGTAAGCTTGTCCCAAATATCGCATGGGACGTCCTTAGACTAAAACAACTATTCGTTGTTTATCTGAAATCCGGGTCCAACTGGGTGTTCTCTATTTTTGTTTGCTAAATCTAGCAGCCCTCCTTGGGAGGAGAAGCAGGTATGCTGGCCCCGCCCCGCTGGCGAGGACGCCTGGGAGGGCCACGCACTGGGCTGGGACCCGCCTCATGAAGTGGAGCTTGGGCTTGGCTTATTTCTTTATTTATTAAAAAAAGCCTTTTGAGAAGTATCAGGATCCCACTGGTGGAGGAGTAAAGAGGGTGTATTGGAGGAGGACTGCTCTCCTCCCAGTGGGGCAGGGAAAGGGATAGGGCCTGGAGTCGAATCGCTGGCTGTGCTAATTTGGGGAAGTCTCTTGCTCGTCCTGAGCCTCTGTTTCCCCAGGTGTAAGTGGGAGTAATAATCCCTCCTCCCGGGGCCACAGTGAGGATGAAATGAATGCTGGTTGGAAGGGCTCAGCCAGGCCTGCCCTGGTGAGCGTGCAGGGGATGGGGGCCTCGGGGGCTAGGGTTATCATGATTACTCTTGGGGAGGTGGTGGGTGAGAATATGGATTCAGGAACCAGAAGGCTTGGGCCTTGCCACTTACTAGCTTCATGACCTTGGACGGTTTACTTAACCTCAGTTTCCCTATCTGTAAAATGGGAGACAATGGTAGTCTGCGTCTCCTAGGTTTATTGAAAGGATTACATGATGTAATAGACCTAAGAACCTGGCACCGGGCTAGCATATAACCAGAGCTCGACAAATATCAGCTCCTGTTATCCCCCAAGCACATGTGTATGCTGCTTCCTCCAGGAAGCCTTCTGGTCCCTCTGGCTCACAGTGGCCTGTCCCTACATGGGATTCCACTGACCACTGACTTCCTGGCCATAAGCCCCATCTGGCTGCCCAGGGCAGGGCTGTTTTTAACTCCCTGATGGGATGGAAGGTTTTGGGGCAGTGGGGAGAGCAGTGGGTATATCTGCCTCGGTCTGGCAATGCCTCTGGGCACAGTGGGCGCCCCGGGCACCCCACAGACAATCAGAGGGTGAAAGGACAGATTTCAAACAGGACTCCGGACTAGCTGGAGGTGGGGTGGGGGACATGCAGTCCCAGGGCCAAATGACATAGACTTTTTAACTGTACGAATAATGACTGGTTGTTTGACTGAATCTGGCCCAGTTTCCCAGGTGACACTGCAGCACCACGGAGAAGCAGGGGCTCTGTGTCAGAGACGCAAGGCAAACCTGGCTGTGCCATTCAATGCTGTGTGATCTTGGGCTTGGTACTTGATCTCTCTGAGCCTCAGTTTCTAACCTTTGCATTGGAGATGGTACCACTCACTTTGCAGTCTTGTAAGAATAAAAGGAGTGAGGAACTACAAGGCACTTGGCACATGGTGGGCACGCCACAAGATTTACCGCCCTTCCCTAGGGAACACCCAGAGGACATCCCACCCGCTAAAGAGGGATGCATTGGGACCTTGAGGGGAAGACTGTTCTTAAAGCCATGGTCTTAGAATTGCACTGGGGTCCATTTGCTGGCTGGTGTCCCCTGAGGTCCTTGTGCCCAGCTTGGCACCAGGGGATTATAAAGTACTCAATTGGGTCCTAACTTTCAAAGAGCTTGTGGTTTTGTTGGGAGTTAAAATAACTCACAAGGGAAGTGTTAATGAACACAGAACCTGGGAATGTGAGATTGTGAATGCATTCGTGTGGGGTCCAGGCTTCACTCCCAGGAGCTTGCTGTGGGGATCTGAGAGGATTGGGGTGGTCAGGGAGGGCTTCCTGGAGGAATCAAGAGTTTGAGCCAAAGCTCAAGCATCTGAAGAGTTATTGCATCCCTCTAGAACTTCCCATGGCTTCTTGTCCTTCCCAGGTCGGTACCTGAGGGCACAGAGATGTTCGAGGTCTATGGGACCCCCGGCGTGGACATCTACATCTCTCCTAGTGTGGAGAGGGGCCGGGAGCGCGCGGACACAAGGCGGTGGCACTTTGATACAGGGTTGGAGATCATCGTGGTCATGAACTCACCCAGCAACGACCTCAATGACAGTCATGTGAGCAGTCCCCTGGTCCAGGGTGGGGGTGGGTGGGGCCGTGATCTAGCTCCACAAGGGCTGGCACCCTCTATTTACCCAGATGGCAGGGTAGCGTGATGGGTAAGTACCTTCCCCTGGAACTAGCCAGCTCTGCAGCTTACAGACATAAACTGTGTGTCTGCTGGCAAGTCACATCAGCCCTCTGGACCTCGGTTTCCCCGTCTGTAAAATGGGGATGATCACAGCACCTTTCCTCCTGGTGTTGGTGTAGGGTGGAACATGAGTCAACATTGGCTCCTTTTCTTGTTTCCCAAGACCCCGGTGAAGGGAGGTGTCCCCATTTCTCTGTGTCAGGCCTCAGTTTCCCCATCTACAGGCTGAGGGTTGATTAGGAGATCTCTGCCACCCTGAATAAAGGAGAGAAAGCAGAAATGCGGGGATACCAGTGACGGGGAGACTCCCTTCTACAAGGTGCCTCACCTCCTAATCCACCTGCTCCCTGACTTACTTCCCTTCTCAGGCACATAACTTCCCTTCCTCTCCTCATTCAGCCACCAAGGGTGAGTTTAACAAGCCCTAGCTGTAGGCAGGGTTCTGGCCTCAGGGCAGGGGGCATTTAAAAGAGGAAAGAAATGGGGTGGCCCTGGAGCTTGGCCCAGGTGATGCCCCCTTAAAGGGGTCATGGGAAGTAGCTTGTTACGCAGGAGTGACAGGTTTCCACTCCGCGTCAGGTGTGGTGTTGCAAAAAACTGACCTTTTAAGGACCACTGACCATATGCCACGCCCTGGACAGCCATGACCTCACACAGGCCTCACAGCAGCTGCGAGAGGCAGGGTCTGATCTCCATTCCATCGGTGGGGCCGCCAAGGTTCAGAGTAGCTGTGTTCTGCACAGAACTGCCTGACACCTGGGGGGCAGGTTCCCTTCATCACCCCCTCGTCTTTTCCCACCCACATATCTGAGCTGAGCCCCTCTGTGGAGCTCTGTGATGCAGGCGGACAGGTAAATGAACTTATTTACAGATAAGGAAACCGAAACCACTTACCCAAAGTCAGCAGATCTAGTGAGTAGCAGAGTTGGTGAGGTTCAGGACAGAGTCCCCGGGGCAGGGCAAGAGGACCAGCCAGCCGGTGAGGGGCTCCTCCTGGGTGCCCTGCCAAGCTGGGGGCCATGTGGATGCCAAAGACCAAAGGAACTGAGGAGGGTCAGAGTGTCCAGCCCCTCCCCTTCCCCCATCTTTGCCCTGGATCCAGGTAACTGTGTGTCTGAGACCACTGAGCCCCAACTCGGGCTTGACAGTTGGGGGGGTCAGTGATTGCAGGATTTAGGGGTTCCCAGCACTGAGGGGTGAATGGCCTCTGTAAGATCCTGAGCCTTCTGACAGAGCTGAGGGACCCCCATCAGGAGGGACCGTGCAAGCAGAGAGCAGTGGGTTGAAGGAGCTTTGACACGTGGGCCTGAAGCTGTGTTCTCATCAGTCATTGTCATACCAGCCTTTAACAGCTATTGGGGCTTGCCGTGGCCAAGCACGGCGCCGAGCATGTCACCCACCTTCCTTCTTTGATGGTCACAGCCTACAATCAACCCTCTGGGGTAGGGACTATTATTATCCCTACTTTACAGCAGGGGACCTTGAGGCCCGGAGAGGGCAAGTGACTCTTCCCAGGATAGTCACAAGTGGTGGATCCGGAATCGGAGCCCAGAGCTCTGGAGCAGCTTGCATGATGCCGTCTGCCCTCTATGAACAGTAGCAGACATGTCTGGGGCCCTTCCTATGGGGTCAGTCTGGTACGTGCATTGTTTCTAAGTGGCACTATAATCCTCTGCGGGCAGCGGGGACCCGTATGCCTGCTGTTCTGCAGATGAGGAAAACAGACAGCTCAGAAAGGTGAGGGACCTCAGCCAAGGTCAAAGAACCCAGAGGTGCTGGGCTCAAGACTAAGCCTGTCTGAGTCCCCCAGATAAGAGAGGGTCCCTAAACCCTACCCAGTCAGAGACCTCCTCAGTTTATGAGCAGCAAAACAGAGATCCAAAGGGGAGCTGGGGATTGTCCAAGTCCCACGGTAATCATTGGCGGCACTGGGGCCCAGGTCTCCAGGGAATCCCTTACAAATGGTCCCATTTTACAGATGGGCCAAACAAGGCATGGAAAAATAAATGGCACAGAGACTAACAGAAGAGCTGGGTTGGTAAACTCAACTTCAGTGCACAGAGCTTCCTGAGACTCTCTCTCTGTCCTGCCAGACCCCAAGACCTGTCCTTTGGGGTGGGAGATATTGGCTTCTGCCAGCTTGACTCTAAGCCCATTTCTCTACAGGTTCAGATTTCCTACCACTCCAGCCATGAGCCCCTGCCCCTGGCCTATGCGGTGCTCTACCTCACCTGTGTTGGTAAGTTGGGGCCCATGCAAGGGCCTGGGCCAAGGGTGGGGGGTGGCTGGGAATGACAAGGAACAGGGGTCTTTTTACAAACATCAACTCATTTTATTTTAAAAATTCAAATAAGGGTATATATTAAAAATTCTAATGGGATAAAAGAGTATATATATGGAAAAGTAAGTTTCCCTTTCTCCCAACCTAAGACTTCCAGTTCCCCAAGCCCACCATCCTTCTAGAGATCTTCTGTGCTTGTGCAGGTGGACACAGGCATACCTGTACACTCCCTCCTTTTGGAAGCAAAGGGAGACATACTCCAGACCTGGACCTTGCTTTTCCACCTTAAGATTTTTGTGCCAGTTGAACACAAATTGACATGTAAACTCCATGCACAGTAACTCAGATTGATTAATACAATAAAGGAAAAGGTAGATAACATGAATGAAAAGATGGGGAATGTCAACAGAGAGATGAAAACTATAAGGTGTCGGGGCGCCTGGGTGGCTCAGTGGGTTAAGCCTCTGCCTTCAGCCCGGGTCATGATCTCAGGGTCCTGGGATCGAGTCCCGCGTCGGGCTCTCTGCTCAGCGGGGAGCCTGCTTCCTCCTCTCTCTCTGCCTGCCTCTCTGCCTGCTTGTGATCTCTCTCTCTCTCTCTGTCAAATAAATAAATAAAATCTTTAAAAAAAAAAAGAAAACTATAAGGTGTCAAATAGAAATGCTAGAACTAAAAATCACAGTAACAGATTTTTAAAAAATGCTCCTGGTGGGTTGTCTTGGTAGACTTGACACAGCTGGAGAGAGGATCAGTGAACTTGAAGATAGGGCAATGATAAATTAGACTGTACTAAATTTTAAAACTTTTACACAACAGAAGACAAGCAAAAAGTCAAACTATAGGGCTGCCTGGATGGCTCAGCCCATAGAGCACGTGAATCTTGATCTCAGGGTTGTGAGTTCAAGCCACACCTTGGCACAGAGCTTACTTTAAATAAAAAGGGGACAAAAGTCCGAATATGGACTGTGAGAAGAAATTTGCAATGCATACAGCTGATTCGGTACACATAGATTGTGGAGAACTCCAATCAATAGGAAAAAAACATAAACTAACGAAATAGGCAAAGACTATGAACAAACAATTCACAGAAGACAAAGTCCCAGTGACCAGAACCTAAATAGAAAGATGCTTAATATTTAACATTGCCAAGGATGTGGAATTGGGAGCTCCTGGATGGTGGGTGGGAGTTTGCATGGGTACAAGCACCTGCAAAGCACTTAGCAAGAAAGCTGAAAATGCTCTGTCTGCAGGAGGCATTGTTAGAGGCAAAATATGCATTATTGGACTTGTGCCAGACTCCTGGGAACCCCATAGTGACTCATGCTCTTTCCTCCCCTTACAGACATCGCTCTGGATTGTGATCTGAACTGTGAGGGCAGGCAGAATAGGAGCTTTGTGGACAAGGTAGGGTGACTCAACCTGGACCCAGAAAGGGGCATGGAGTTTGGCATTGACCTAGGCTGGTTTAGGAGGGGCAAGGCCATTACAGGTATCCCCCTGCCTCCTAGCTGGTGCCGAGGTCGGGAGAGCCACATGGGAAGTAGGCATGGCTGGGGGTATTCTTTCACCAGGAGAAAAATCATTACCAAGAATTATCAAGCATATACATGCCCAGGACTGGGCTATGCCTTGCTTTGTCGGGAAAAGTCCTTCTGGAATGTCAGTCTAGCTCAGGGGTCAGCAAACTTTTTCTGTAAAAGTGAGATAGTGAATATCTTAGGCATTGCAAAGTGTCTCTCTTGCAACTCTTCAGTTCTGCCATTGTAGTGTGAAAGAGCTGTAGCCAATTCAATGGATGTGACTATTCCAATAAAACTTTATTTACAAAAACAGGCAGCGGGCCAGAGGTGGCCCCCAGCCCTGGCGTGCCAATCTTCTGATTTAGGCGAAAGGGGAACTCTGCCAAATATGAGGCTGTTAAAGAACTTTGGGCTGAACTGTTGTGGCACTCAACGCATTGGGAGATCTTAGCAGAAGGTCAAGGTGGGCTGTGTGAACAAGGAAGACTTCCTTTGAAGTCCACTTGAGCTAGGCTCTAAAGCGATGCAAGAGGGAGGGGATTCCAGGTGGAGCGATGAGCGGGAGCCAAGGCCTGGAGCCGGGAACAGATCTGTAATCAGGAAGTTGTCTGTTGAGAAATAGGACATTGGCCCAAGACATACTGCATTTGGCCATAAAAGACCTCTGTATAGTTTGGACTTGCTCTTGTGGGCAGTCTGGAGCCACGGCCGTGTCTGATGCAGGAAGTGCTTCCGTGAGGGCAAGCACAGGGAGGGCAAGGAGGAGGAGACGGGGGTCAGGAGGCTGGCCAGCAGGTTGCTGGGCGGGGGCAGAGGACAGGTCTGAGCCCCATCACCAATAATGCTTTGCCATTGGCAGCGGGATTGGGTCTGGGGGCCCGGTGGGTATGGAGCCATCCTGCTGGTGAACTGCGACAGGGACAATCTGAACTGTCATGACCAGGACAACCGAGACCAGCAGGTGCGCTGCCTGCAAGGTAAGGGGGTGCCCCGGGTCACTGCTCAGCTACCCCGTAGGTCGCACTGAAGGGAGTGCCAGGGGCCAGAGTTCCAGCTCCCAGACACACTTTGATGTCGCTCAAAACCTGCCTCACGCAGCTGACCCCTCCCAGCCTGTCTGTGGCAGATCCAAAGCTTCCTATCCGCACCCCAAATCCAGCCTCCCCACCAGGCACCCCGGGCCTGCATTTCAGGATGCCCCACGTTCTAAGTCAGTCCCGCACTGCGCACAATAGCCCCGTGCGGAAGACCACAATAGTGGCCTGGGGAGCAGGCAGGTGCCTTATGCCTGGGTGGGCACAGTTTCTCTGGAATGTGGGCACATCTGTCCCTCATTTCAGACCGGGGAGCACTGAGGCTTGGGGAGGGAGGGGCCTGCCTGGTGTCAACAGGGAGTGATGCTTGGACTGAGACCAGACTCTCAGCTGTGTGCCACCCAGGTGGCCTGCCTACCGCACGCTTCTCACCTGTCCCCGGGCTCAGGGCAGGCCGCTTTGTACTTCCCGTTGCTCTGGGCAGGTGAGGGAGTGGAGGCCCAGAGAGGGTCGGACACATTCGCGTGGCACACACTTCAGACATCCTTATGGTTTGTTCTTGATGGTTTCTAGCATTTTCACAGGCTGGGCAGAGCCGGGGCTCAGAGACCCAAGTCTTGGCGCCCTCTGCCCCGGGAGGGGGGTGTGTGGTGGGCAGGAGGAGAAGACATGGAGTGTCAGGGGCCCATGGAGTTGCTGCCCCATCTGGTTCCACAGACCTGGAAGACATGTCCGTCATGGTCCTGAGGACCCAAGGCCCTGCTGCCCTCTTCGATGACCACAGACTCATCCTCCACACTTCCAGCTATGATGCCAAGTGGGCACGGGTCTTCCACGCCTGCGGTGAGTTCGTGCCCATCCCCTCCCCTGTGCCCACTGCCCCGGGGGCGGGTCTCAGTTTCTCCACCTTGGACTAGAGGGCAGGCTCTGCTCTGGCTTCCAGCCTGCCCTGGGGGCCAAGGAAACATGGTCAGATGGGGAAACTCTGAAACAGGTGGGGCCCAGGCCATGGCCCAGGGTCGTTGGATTAGATACATTAAAATACATTCAGGAGCACCTGGGTGGCTCAGTCAGTTAAGTGCCTGCCCTTAGCTCAGGTCATGATCTCAGGGTCCTGGGATCGAGCCCCAAGTCAGGCTCCCTGCTTAGCGGGGAGTCTGCTTCTCCCTCTCCCTATGCCCCTCCCTGTCAAATAAATAAATAAAATCTTAAATAGACATATTTAAAAATATAATTTAAGCATGTTTGGAAATTCTTATCAAAACTTTCAAACACACAGAAAAGTAGAGAGAACAGCGATGACCCCTGAACGCCAGTCACTCAGATTCAACAATTACCGCTGTTTGCTTCTCTTGCTCTCTCTGTATCATAAAGCCGCTCCCTGACACGATGGCTATTGTCCCTGCAGAATTTAGCATGCATCTCCCCCCAAAACCAATGACAATTGTTCTACAGAGCCACATTATGAGCAAGGACATAAAATCCCTTTTAAAGATACAAATGCAGGCGCCTGGGTGGCTCAGTGGGTTAAGCCGGTGCCTTCGGCACAGGTCATGATCTCAGGGTCCTGGGATCAAGTCCCACATCGGGCTCTCTGCTCAGCAGGGAGCCTGCTTCCCTTCCTCTCTCTCTCTGCCTGCCTCTATGCCTACTTGTGATCTCTCTCTGTCAAATAAATAAATAAAAATCTTTAAAGATACAAATGCATACAAGTAATAAAATGCTCATTTTTGAAAAGCTCAAAGAAGGGGCGCCTGGGTGGTGCAGTGGGGTGGGCTTCTGACTCTTGGTTTTGGCTCCAGTCGTGACCTCAGTGTCCTGAGATCAAGCCCCACGTCCGGCCCCGCGTTCAGTGGGGAGCTTGCTTGTGATTCTCTCTCTCCCTCTGCTCTCTGCCCCTCCCCCCACTCACACACATGGACTCTCTCTAAAATAAATCTTTTTAAAAAATTAAAAAATTTTAAAAGACCAAACAGGACAGAAGCATATAAGGTAAAACATGCTCATCCCTACCCCTAAACCTGACTTTTGAAAATGCGTTCACTGTTAACGATTCTCTATGTGTTCTTCCTGACTTTTCTCTGTAGGCATCAAACGTGCATGCGTGTGTGTGCACGTGTGTGTGTGGTGGACGTTCCTTTCTGAATGAACGCAGCTCTGCCTCAGTCTTTTGCACAGCTGCGTGGTATTCTGGAGCACAGGCGTGCTGTGGCTCACCCGCTCCCCTGAGCCCACGGCGGTTCGCGGTGTTCTGATTTGACCACAACATAGGTTCCTCGAGTGCAGGGGTCTTGCTCACGGCTGTATCCTGAGCCTGGAACCTGGCCTCCTAGGTGCACAGTAGGTGCTCAGTAAATACTTGTTCAATGACTAAACAGCGTGAATACCTTTGTACATGTATTTGTAGCAAAGACACCTAGAAGCGGGATTGTTCATTAGGAGTAGAGGTTCCTTTGCGAGAGGCTGCCGGGCTGTCCTCCAGAAGGTCTGAACAGGCGTCTTAGAAAGGCATGGCCTTTTCACTGGCTCGCCCACACTGGGGATCAAGCATCTTCTCTCCTTCGCTGATGGGAGGGCAGAGATGGGGGCTGCTATCTGGCGTGTGAGGTTGGCCCAGCTCCTCCTGCGTCTGTCGTGCTCTGTGGGCCCACCTAGAGGTCACAGCCGTTCCTCCTGTCCCCTCCCAGGTCCTGAAGACTCGTGCGAGGCCTACAGGCATGTGCTAGGCCAGGACAAGGTGTCCTATGAGGTGCCCCGCTTCCACGGGGATGAGGAGCGCTTCTTTGTGGAGGGCCTCTCATTCCCCGATGCCAGGTTCACGGGGCTCATCTCCTTCCACGTCACCCTGCTGGATGACTCCAATGAGGTGAGGGGTGGCCGGGCCAGAGAGGGTGAGAGAGGGCTCCATCCCCGGGAGAGATGGGCACCAAAGGTGTGGAGGACCCCAGACCTCTTGACCTCCCCCACCCCTGCTGCGGCCCCTCTGGAAATGAGGAGATGCCAGGGGCATCAGCCAGGCCTCTGGACTCCAAGGTCAGTGCTCTTCCCCGTCTGCCCATCTTCTGCTGTAGGATTTCTCCGAGTCCCCGATCTTCACCGACACCGCGGTATTCCGCGTGGCGCCCTGGATTATGACGCCCAGCACCCTGCCGCCGCTGGAGGTGTACGTGTGCCGGTGAGTGTGGGAGGCGGGCGTGGGTGTCCTCCGGAGGCTGGCGGCCCCTCCTGCCTCCACACCTGGCTCGGTCCTGAGTCGTGCTGCCTGGGGTCGTCCACAGTGTGAGGAACAACACGTGTTTCGTGGACGCGGTGGCGGAGCTGGCCAGGAAGGCCGGCTGCAAGCTGACCATCTGCCCGCAGCACGAGAACCGCAATGACCGCTGGATCCAGGTACCGGGGCTGCCGGGCAACGTCCAGCTAGGACGCCATTGGCACCGTGGAGGGAGAGGCTGGCCCATCCTAACTGGGGGCGGGGCTGGGGGGTGGGGTTGCTTGTGGATATCTAGAAGGACCTGGGGGCTGTGACTGTCCTCCCCAGGGCACTCCTTTTTCTTACTATAGACCTAGAGCTCCCTCCCTCTCCCTAGAACTTTCTAGAGACCCAGGCACACACTGACACTGGATTGAACCTGCATTCACCCACAGGATCTGGGCTAGGCACGGGGCTGGCCCTGAATGGGATGGTGGATGTGTGGGACACAATCCCTGTCCTCAGCAGCCCGGCCCTATGGTTCCCCACGGAAGGCGACTTCGTCCTCCAAGGGACGTTTAGCAGTATCTGGAGAAATGGCTGTCACCCTGATGATGCTACTGGCTTCTAGTGGGTAGAGCTCGGGGCTGCTGCTATGTGTCCTACACAGTGAAGGCACAGGGTAGCCCCACAGCAAAGAATTGTCTGGCCCCAAGGGCCATGAGTGCTAAGGCTGAGAAGCCCTAGTGTGGTGAGCTATTGCAATAACCCGTCTCCCCCTGCCCCTGCAATTGAAAATGTCGTAGGGGTGCTGGGCCATCTTTGCCTCCAGGACCAGAGAGGTCAGGATGAAGCTGGGCTAGATGTTGAGAGATCTGAGAAGGAGGCAGACCTATACCTCCTTTGGTCCCCTCAGCCCTGCCCTTGACCAGGTGTGGAGGCCAGAGGTGCTGGCTGATGTCTAGAGATTTGTTTGTCCAACTCAGGCCACCCCGAGCCTCTCTCTGTGGCCACTCTCCCTGATCCAGCATGGGGACAACCCCCAGGGTCACATCCACGTTCTAGTTATTCCCCACCTGTCTTGCTGTGTGACCATAGGTGAGAACACACCGTCTCTGAGCCTCCAGCCCCTCCTCCAGCCAGCAGGTGTCAAGAACCCCTGTCTTCTTCAGCCCAAAGGGCAAAGCTTGCCTGAAACCAAGAACCCGCAAGAACAGTTCTCCCCAAAACGCTCAGTCCCAAATGAGGCTTCGTTGTCCACAGGGTGTCTCTCTCATTCGCAGGACGAGATGGAGCTGGGCTATGTTCAGGCACCACACAAGACCTTCCCGGTGGTCTTTGACTCCCCCAGGAACGGGGAGCTGCAGGACTTCCCTTACAAAAGAATCCTGGTGAGTGGTCGGGGGCCACAGGCTACAGCCTGGCTCGGAGAATAGAGGAACGTTTTCCAAAACCCCACCGGGGTGTAGAGTGTAGGGCACGGTACTGGGGACCACGTTCTTTAGGGACAGGAGCGACCAGATAAAATATGGCAGATGCTTAGTTACGTTCAGATTTCAGGTCAGCGATGAGGAACTTTTGGTATAAGTATGTTCCCAACCGTGCATGGGACATAGTTATATTAAAAATATACTCGTGCTTTATCCGAAATTCAAAGGTAACTGGGCGTCCTATACTTTTTATTTACTGAATTTGGCAGCCCTAGGTAAGGGCGGGGTGAGGCCGTGCCGCTGTTAAGAACACAGGCTTTGGAGGCAGAAGAACCGGGCTCTGTTACTCAGATGCTGTGTGGCCTGGTGTGAGTCACTTCCCCTCTCTGAGCCTCGGTTTCTTCATCAGCAAAAATGATGTGATAGCCCTGGCCTCAAAGGTGTTTCTGAGGCTTCTCTGTCCTGGGCAGAGGGAGCACATAGCGCTGTTAGCTGAGATTAATATTGATAATAAGAACTACTGTGAAGATGGTCCTTGGGGACCAGGACCTTCTAGAAGAGAGAGGGGAGACTCCCTTGATGCTGGGGAGACCATGAGGCCCTTCCAAACCCTGCTGGATCACAGAGGTGGTGGTAGGAGCTCTCGCCTGGGCCTCAATGTTGTTTGAGTTGTTTCTAAGAGATGGCCCAGGGGAGCTCTCCTGTTTTTCTGACTTGAAAGACTGAGGTTCCATCCCCAGCCACTTGGCCCCCAGGAACAAGCTGCTCTAGAACAGCCAGGTACTTGCCCTTGGGCTGTACTTGGCAGGAAGTCTGCTCAGAGGGAAAGGGGCAGGGGCCATAGCCTCAGGCTCCATGTCTAATGGGGAGTTTAGGCAATTGCAGCCCTGTCCACTGTCTCCCTGTGACCACGGAGATAATGTGCTCTAATGTGGCAGCAGGCCCAGAGTGCCTGTGTGTTTCACAACTTTAGCCCCTATGCATGTGTGAAATATTGAATAGGTCAGATCCCTGTCTTTGACTCAGTATTTCCATCCAAAGAATGGACAGACACCCCTGCCCCATCCTGAAGGAGCTCAGAGCCCAGCAAGTTGGCTCAAGCTCTTTCTGGTGACCCCCACCCCAGCCTGACTCAGTTTCCCCTGCCAGGGTCCAGATTTCGGCTATGTGACTCGGGAACCACTAGACAGCTCTGTGAGTGGCCTGGACTCCTTCGGGAACCTGGAGGTCAGCCCCCCAGTGGTGGCCAATGGGAAAGAGTACCCCTTGGGGAGGATCCTCATCGGGGGAAACCTGCCTGGGTGAGAGAGGGGCAGGGAGAGGTGTTCCTTCGGTGGAGGGTGGTGATGGTGGCAGGGGTGGTGGGGGTGAGGGATCATTCCACTCCTGGGAGAGAACCCACGAGGAGTGATAAATTCCTAGTACTAGATGAGGTAGGGGAGGCAGTGGGCTGATGACCGGACACTGTCCATTGACCTTGGTGAATTTTGAGAAGGCCATGGTGAGCAGAGACCTAAGATATCATTCAGTCCAGCCTTTCATTTCACAAGTGAGCCCAGAAAGGGTAAAGTGACCTGGTATAGGTCACACAGAATCCAAAGTTGTGACTAAACTTAGGTCTTCTGTTTCCAAAAGAAATGATATAATAACAGTCTATTAATTAATAGTTCTAAAAGAAAAAGCTTCAAGTCTCAACAGTCCTAGAGCAATTACATTTCAAGAGCTTGTTCATACTATAATGTAAATGACTACCATCAGATATTTTCCTGAGAACAGGAGAAGGAAGGTATAGGACATGAAAGATGAGATGTCGTAATACACACACACACACACACACACACACACACACAGAATAATAGATTATTTGTTGTTCAACATGTGACACGGAGATACTGATGCAAAAGAAAAGGAATTATATGGTGATGGTTTTTTGTTGTGGAATAGACCAGGGCATTGAGCCATCCAAATTCAACAAAGCAGTTAGGACAAACTTGCAGTCAAATAACAGGTGAATCAAAAGGCTTTGGAGGGACTCACTGCCCTCAACTTGCGATCCCACAGAAAGAGGAAGTTCAAGGTGTCTGGGTGACTCAGTCAGTTAAGCGTTCAACTCTTGATCTCAGCTCAGGTCTTAATCTCAGGGTCCTGAGTTCAAGCCCTACCTTGGGCTTCAACCGGATGTGGATCCTATTTAAAAAAAGACAAAAAAGAAAGAGGAAATTTGGGCCGTGCCATTAGATACTTATGTGGAAGTCCAAAGAATAATGGGGGTTAAGTTCACGAGCGTAAAATGCTAGGGCTCTGTGTTCCTTGGGGTGATCTTGTCCACCTCTCTCCCCACTGATGAACAGAAGGTGAGGCCAGAGCAAGAGAGACACAAGTTAAACTCCCAGAAGAGCCGCCTGGCCCCAGGGGATGGAATAGGATGGTGAATGTCTCCAGGAGCCAGTGAAGATGGGTCGGAGGGCGGCTCTGAGCGTTTGCTGGGATGGCAAGACCTGGGGGTCACCGACTGGGTGGGGTCAAGCCGTCCTGCCTCCAACTGTTCAAGAGCTCAGCCTGAGCAGAATTTAAAGGACGCAGTGCATGTTTTTTGTTTAAAAAAATTGGATATTGCGGAAACACAAACTTTGTCATTCCATTTCTGCACAGACATTTTTAAGCTAAGCAATGTTTTTGACCCCTCGGGCCCCAGGTCCAGCGGCCGTCGGGTCACCCAGGTGGTGCGGGACTTCCTCTATGCGCAGCGGGTACAGCCCCCCGTGGAGCTCTTTGTGGACTGGTTGGCCGTGGGCCACGTGGATGAGTTTCTGAGCTTCGTCCCTGCCCCCGATGAGAAGGTAAGGACAGTGGTGACCTGCCTGTCCCTGGTGCCTGGGTCAGAGGATGAGCTCCAGGGGGCCGGGCTGAGTCCGGGGAACTCAGGCGGTTCTGTCCTCTCCACACAGGGCTTCCGGATGCTCCTGGCCAGCCCTAGCGCCTGCTTCAAGCTCTTCCAGGAAAAGCAGAAGTGGGGCCATGGCGGGGCCCTCCTGTTCCAAGGGGTTGTTGGTGGGTACCCACGCTGTGCCCCTCATCCCAGGCTTCCCGCCCCCTCCCCTATCTAAAGCAGGACACGTCATGGCTTGAAAGACAGATGGCCAAGTCTATCCAGCAGGGTGGTCCCCCCAAAGAGCCTCACTGTTGCTGCATGCCTTGTCCCCACCGGCCCCTGCTGCCTGCGGCTAGGGGCAGGGACATGGCGAGCCGCGTGGGCCTGTGACCAGTGTCATCAGACAACGCCCTCTCCTTAGAAGGTTTGAGGCTCTGCCGTCACTGTCTTGAAGTTCTTAACCATCTGAGCTTCGTGAGTGAAACCTCTTGCTGCCTCCCAGGGGTGAGATCCCTTCTGTAACCCCCGAATCCCTGAAGCCTTAGCCATGGGCAGTGGGAGCTGGTGGGGCCTCCCCTCTCTGCCTCCCCTTCTCAAACCCTTCCCCGCTGTGGCGGTTGTTGTAGCAGGAGCCTGGGCTTGGGGAGGCCTGGGTACATGGGCCCCTCGGCATCCCCAGGGGTGGGGGGTGGGTCCTGGCATTAACTGTCCCTGTCGTGGACTGGCAGTGCCCCAGGTCATGGGGTGGGCACCTCGCAAGGGGTGAGCCTCTTGTCCACCCCCGAGCAAGGGAGCTAGCACACCCCTGTGCGGATTCTGCCTGTTTACCGTGGCTCGGGGGAAGGGGAGACATCTGGCCTGATGTGGGTCCTGTGGCTCATGGGCTGGGATGCCAGGCAGCCGGTGGGCTGTGCACACGCGCCAAGTTTCAGCTGGGGCTCCCAGCCCTGCGGGCGTCTGTGCTCACCAAGTGGGTGTCCTGTGACCAAGGGAGCATGACGTCAAAGAGCAAGTAAAAAACCAACATGACAGGGTGGGAGAGAGACCCTGGAGGAAAGAAAAGTCCTTTTATTTTTATATGTTTATTGAAACTTTTTTTCCTGTTCTTTGAACAATGGGTCCCACATTCTCATTTTGCTTGGAAAGAATTCTGAGAGCCATTGCTGGCTGGGGCTGGGGGCGGTGCGCCTGCTTGCTGGGATGCTCATTCCCATCCCCACCAAAAGTGTGTGAATCAGAGAGGACTGGTCCCCTCCGACAGGGACCCTGGTGGTCTCAGAGCAAAAATCTTTGGCTGAGGGCACTATAGCTTTTCTTGGCCTCATGGGAGATAAAGAATTTCCTGGACCAAACCTCCAAGGGAAAAGCTTGTGTAGAATTCAGAAGCTCTCAGTAGAACTTTGCAGTTCCTTTCTCCCTGCTTACGATCCTCACCCCATTCCCAAGGCCACCCTGGAACCCCAGGTGTAAAGTGGAAGAAACACAGTCTTCCCAGCCCCTTTGTTCCCATAAGGATCATGGCTAAATACCTTTGGGTCCAGAGCAAACCTGAAAAAGCCTCAAATCCAGAAGTTACGGATCAGGTGGAGGGAAAGCCATCATCACCTTTCCTGGAAGGACCACATCCTCGGTGAACAAGACCCAGGAACAGGCTGAGTGGGTTTCCCAGCCGTCCAGCTGGGAAGGAGAATGTGGGAATTCATGGCCATCAGGCCACATGAAGCCACTGTGCCCCAGGAGACCAGCATATCTCACTGGCCACACTGTGTGCCAGACCCCCACTTACTATCCCCTCTCCCTATAGACCCAAGAGCACGGGAAAGTCAAGGGAGTCACTGGCCCAAAGGGCTCAGCAGGAACACAATGGAGCTGGGACTGGACCCCAGCTGGTGGACCCCAGCTGGGGCGGAGGGGATGCTGAGCCTGCAGACGGGCACATGGGTCCAGGGGGCCCTGTCTTTCCCCTTGGTCAAGGTTTGCTGCCTTTTGTGAGCACTGGGCTGGGGTTTGAATCACAAGCCCCCTGTTTCTTAGCTGTAAGCTCCTGGGTGAGTCTTTTTGCTTCCCTGACCTGAAGGTGCCCATCTGTAAAGAAGGTGACAATGCACACCTTGTGGGGTTACAGGGAAGCTAAATGAGGTGTCAAATGTGGAGAACTGAATCCAGGGCCTGCCCGTGCTAAGAGCTCGCTGGCAGCTGGGATTGTGAGCCTAACCTCCCCTTCCCCGCCCAGCCCATCAGGGAGACTCCAAGGAGACTCTTGGCCACGAGTTCCCCTCGTGGAGGGCAGGGACAGGGCCCATCAGGGCTGATGGACAGGTGGATGACCCAGCCCCACTACCATGGCCAGCGGGAAAGAAGAGGGATCAGCACCCAGTGCCCTAGAAGGGGCGGACGTTTCCGGTGAAAGGCATCCCCACTTCCGGCGTACTCAAATAGAGCTCTAAGTTCTGTGGCACTCAGCCACCTATCCGTCCCTCCCACCCCCAGGCCAGGCCGAGCTCTGCTGGGTGGTGTCTACCCCATGTCCAGAAAGGCCAGAGAGCTACTGACTCGCAAGACCAGTAGCTGTGAACTTGACCTCTGCCTGGCTGCCTCCCAGAGCCAGTGACCCTCAACTCTGGCATCGTTCCTGCCCCTCCTCTAACATCTCTCTCTCCCTCTCAGGGGATGAGCCAGTCAAGACCGTCTCCATCAACCAGGTTCTCTCCAATGCAAACCTTATCAGCTTCAATAAGTTCGTGCAGGTACAGGGCTGTGAGGAGAAGGTGGGCATGGCTGGGGACAGCAAAGGGGACAGAGTCTGAGGCTCAGGGTCCATGAAAGCCCAGGCTAGAACTGGCCCAGACAGAGGGGCTCCCACCCCTCCTCTGATCCAGGAGAAATGGGGGGTAAGCCGTGTGCATGTGAGGAGGACACGCATCCAGGCAGAGGGAAGGGCACAGACGATAGCCCTGAGGTAGAACGAAAGGGCATGGGATATTTGAGGATGAGCCAGGGGGTTCTGGGGAGATGAGGGGAGGCTGGGTCATCGAACAATGGAGGGTATTGCAAGGACGTTGACATTTGAGGCCACCAGGGCATTTGGGCAGAGGAGGGTCCTGATTGGACTTTTGCTTTGAAAGGATCGCTCTGTGGCTGTGTTGAGAACATATCAATATTTCATAGCAGGGGGTGGGGGTAGTGACATTAGGTCCCAGCAAGAAACACACGGGACCTCAAGCTGGAAAACTGGAATAGTTTAATCAGGGAATATTTATTTATTTATTTAAAGATTGTATTTATTTATTTGACACAGAGAGAGAGAGAGATCACAAGTAGGCAGAGAGAGAAAGAGAGAGCGGGGGAAGCAGGCTCCCCGCTGAGCAGAGAGCCTGATGCGGGGCTCGATCCCAGGACCCCGAGATCATGACCTAAGCCGAAGGCAGAGGCTTAATCCACTGAGCCGCCCGGGTGACCCGTTAAAGATTTTATTTATTTGAGAGAGAGAGAGAATGAGAGAGAGAGAGAGAGAGTGAGCATGAGAAGGGGGAAGGTTAGAGGGAGAAGCAGACTCCCTGCTGATCAGCGAGGCGGATTTGGGACTCGATCCCAGGACTCCAGGATCATGACCTGAGCCGAAGGCAGTTGCCCAACCAACTGAGCCACCCAGGCGTCCCATAATCAGGGAATATTTATAAAGGTGCAGGCAGAATCTGAGGAAATCAACAGGAGACTGTGTAATATTCCCAGGTTAGAGAGAGGGGAGCTGTCACTACCCCTAGACCTGATGGCATTAGGGAGGGAACGTGCTGCTGGAACCTGGAGAGGTCACCATGAAAAGAGGGCTTGGAGATAGGACCTGTGACTTTCCTGGCCAGCCCACAGTGACTTGGCTGTGAAGGAGCTTCAGGAACAAATACCCCAACAGCATTCTGCTACCCACCCCCTGCCTCCTATCAGTGCCCCATCGGCAGCATCTAGCCAGAAGCCAGTGGGCACAGGAGCCCCCAATTCCAAGCACTAGGCTTCCAAGCCGCAGAGCAGAGGAGAAGACCATACCATAGGTTCAGAAGGGCAAACAGAATACCCAGCATGCTGTCATCTAAGAAGGAAATGCTAAGACAGGGTTAAGCATTCAGGAATCCTGTTAGGGACAGTGCCTGGGAACCAAGGACAAGGAAACCTGTCCTGAGGGGAAGGCATTTTCACAGTGGAGCCTTAGGAGGTCAAGGGTAAACTCAGGCTGTCATGGGGAGCCAGTGAAAGTTTTTGATCAGGAGGGACAACACCTTGCAGCTAAGGTGAGGGGATTAAGCCTGTGGGTGCTGGGCCCTGGCAAGCCGGGTTCAAATTCCAGCCCTACCACCCACTAGGCATGTGACCTTGAGGGAGACGCTTGGCCTCCCTCTGCCACAGTGTCTCCATATATAGAGTGGAGAAGATTAAAGGAGTCAGCGCGTGTAAACACTTGAGATGAGTGAAAGTTAAAGGCACCTGAACTCATGCCTTACTTCACTCCAGGGAAACTGAGGCCCAGAAGAGAAGGGGCTAGAAGGCAGAGCTCCAGACTCCCCCAGTCAGGTGCTCATGCCCCATCAGGGAAGTTGTTAGGAAGAGGAAGGGAGCTGGAGGGAGCTGGGAGACCAGACCTTCTGTGGGTGAGGGGGTAGGAAGCCTGAGGGAAGCATCCTGTAGGGCCATGCAGTCTCAGACAGGTTCAGCAAGGTGGGGCCCTGGTGGGGGGCAGTCCGCAAGCCAAGATGGCCATGGGTCTGCCTTATTACCCTTGTTGCACTCAGCATTGGCCATTAACAGCTGGTGGGAGGTGTGGCCGTGGGATTTCAGAGCTGGAGCCAGGCATCGAGGCTCTTGGTCAAGTCTACCCCACCCCCCAGCTGGAGATCCACGAGGAACATAATGAGGTCTGCCACAGGGTATGGAAGCAGAAGAAGCAGGGTGACTGGTTCAGGCTAGGTGGGGGCTGGCTGTCCACCAGGTGGGAGCAGTGGAGGTGGTGGAAAGAGGTCAGACTGGGGGTATATTTTAGAGGTAGAGCCTACGGCACTTGCTGAAGATGGGTATGAGGTAAGGGGGAAGGAAGCACTGGAGGGATAGCAAGGCTTTCGGCTCAAGCAGCTGGTGGCCTTTATGGAGCTGAAGGACACTGGCGGGGGTAGGGGTGACGTGTGTAGAAATGAAGAGTGTGTCTTTGGACATGTTTTATCTAATGTGCCAATTAGCCATCCACTGAAGGTGCCCAGTGGTGGTTGTATGTGCAAATCTGAGATCAGGAAAGAGGGTGGGCTCTCTATGCAGTTAGGAAGTAGAAATGTGGGAGTTGTCTGTGTGTAGATGATGTCTTAAACCATAAGACTGAAGGATCTGAAGAAGGGAAGAGGGCTAAAGATGGAACATTCTGGAACACTCACAAAAAGAGAATGCTGTGGAACACTCTGGAACTAGCCCAGCTAGTAGGATAGGACTGTGAGAAGTGGGACCCAGAACAGGTGTATTTTGACAAAGGGACACAGAGGTAAGGTTTGTGTGGAGAGTTTAGCCCATGGGTATATGGGCAGCCTGTCTCCTTAACCAGACAGGACCTCTTGGGTCCCCACAAAACTCGCTGATAAGGTCTCTCCAACTCTACCCACCCCCCTAGAGCTGCATCGACTGGAACCGGGAGGTACTGAAGCGGGAGCTGGGCCTGACAGAGCGGGACATCATCGACATCCCCCAGCTCTTCAAGACCGAGAGGAGAAAGGCGGTGGCCTTCTTCCCTGACTTGGTGAGGCCACCATTCGTGAGTTAAACCTGTTTCATCAAGTCAGGCTCCAAGCTTTTGCTCCCCAGAAGGGCAAGATGTTTGGTCACTGCCATGTGTGGGATTGTGGGGGCTGGTGGGGGTGGCAGAGAGAATCAGGGGTCCCAGGATGGCCAGCAGATGGATGTCTAGTTGGCTGACTGTCCTGGTCACTACAGAAGGCTCACTGGCCAAGCCCCTTGCTCAAGGACCATCAGGCAACGGCCCTTCCCTTCACCCAGGGACCCACCTGATATTCATGGAGGGAATCAATGATCGCATGAGGTTACGTGTGCATAGCACTCAGTATCAGCTAGGAGCTCAGACACCCCCTGTGTCCCCTCTGTCCCAGTTTATAGCTGTTCCCCCAACACCCATATATTTAGGATACACTGTCAGAGAAACGATTAAGGTTGCTCCCTGCTTTCAGGGAGTTTCCAGTCTAATCTACTGCTAGGAAACTCTCCTCACCTCCCTTAGGGTGTGTCCCACTCAAGGATATCTTTTGTATAATGTCATGTGCCAGTTGAGAGGTGGAACAAAGCAATTCCAGCCTGAGAGGTAGGCCTGGAGATCCAAGAAGGCTTCTTGGGGGAAATGACCTTTGGTTGAGGCGGGAGCGCTTTGCCTCTGGAACACCAGGACTGCTGGGGCTCCACCCCATGGGTTCTGATTCAGCAGGGGGCGCTGAGGCTGCTCTCCGAGGACCACACTTGGAGTAGCACTACTATAGATGACCCAACTCTCCACCCCTTCCCTCCTTTCCCCTCCTCCAGCCCCCCTTCACCTCCACCCCACAGAGGAACTCAACTCGCCCACCATCAGAGCCTTACAGAGAGCCTGTCCACACCACCATTGCTTCATCCCCCATTTCCCTTCCCCTTTCTGGTTAACCTCATGCCCTCCTCCATTTCCCCATTTGCAAAACTCAGTTTCCCCTCCTTTTATCATCCCCTTCCTTCCTGCATGTTTAAGGCGGATCTGCATTTACGTAAATGCCTCCAGCCTTTGCAGGAAACAGGGCCACCCCAGCCAGCCTTAGCCAAAGCAGGAGGTTTAGTGTAGCATCACCACACAGAGACACAGACACGGGCAACGACCCACTGGACCGACCCACTTTGTCAACTTCAAATACCACAGAGAGAGAGAGAGAGAGAGAATCTGATTGATCCAGCCTGGGTCAGATGTCTTCCCTGGTCCAATCAGCTACAACCTAGGAAGTTGCGATTCTGGCCCACAAACATGGCAGCCACCATAGTCCGCCCGTAAGGAAGGATGTCCCCGGAGAAATGAGCTGTCCCTGGGAGCTCCGTGGTTGTTCCCGTGGGATGGCACATCTGGCTAGAGTCTCAGCAGCCCGGGTGCCTCTCCCACTGCGTGCAAGTATAAAGACCTCTGCTCAGGGCTGCCCGCAAGACAGGCGCCAGGTCCTGCCAGGTGTGGTGCAGGTGTCGAGGCGGAGCTGATGACGAGGTGCTACCCCTGAGCTGGGACCCCGCTCCTTTGCAGGTGAACATGCTGGTGCTGGGCAAGCACCTGGGCATCCCCAAGCCCTTCGGACCCATCATCAACGGCCACTGCTGCCTGGAGGAGAAGGTACGCACCCTGCTCGAGCCGCTGGGCCTGCATTGCACCTTCATCGACGACTTCACCCCGTACCACATGCTGCACGGGGAGGTCCACTGTGGCACCAACGTGCGCCGGCAGCCCTTCTCCTTCAAGTGGTGGAATATGGTGCCCTGAGCCGATCCCCCGCACCCCTATCCTCTGCCCCTGGGGCAGGACATCAGCCGGCCCTGAACAAAAAGCATCAAGAGACCCCAGTGTTCCAGATAGCACCCTGAGGGTGACTGTCTTTCTCAGAAGCCTTTTCCCTTGAAGTGTTCACACCTCACCACTGGCAACCCATTTGGTTCTTAAACTTGATTCTTGTTGGCCTCCCAAGAAGAAAGCCCTCACTTCTTGTGGCCTCTCATGAGGATCGACATGACCCATGGGGATTCCTCCAAGCCCTCTCCTCCCCATCCCCAAATCCTCTGTTTGGGTTCAAATTTACTCTGGGGTCTAGAAATATCCATGTGTCTGATTTGCCCTCTTGTCCTGTGTGTCCTAATGGAGGAAGGACCCACAATTCTGCTTGGGTCCAATTGCCTCTCACTCTGCAGGGGAACACCTTAAAGTCAGATCCCTCCACCCAGAAGAGAGTCTACCCATAGCTTCCCACAAAGGGAAGGAGGTGGGGTCCTTGTAGATAAGGTTGGATCACCAGTCTATCTGTCAAGCTTCTGAACAGATGCTGAGCTCTCTACCCAACCCAGTGCCCAGCAGGAGCTTTTGCACAGTTGGTCCTTTCTAGATGTGTGTTGAAGGAATGACTGTTGGCCCTTAGCCTTATAAATGCCCCATCATCTGACATTCAGAAATCTGGCTTTGTCCAAAAACCTCCAGGAATTTCCTGGAGATGAAACTATGTGGGAAATTCTTGGATTTTAAGAAGGCTATGGGTGCAAGGGGGAGAGAGGTCCTTCATAACGCTTAAGATGCTTCCCTGGCCCCAGACCGCTCTCTGCAGGAGGGCAGAATCAGTACTAGGCTTTGGTTTGCCCTCTGGTCATCCATCTCATGTCCTGCTGTGCCTCAGGAGAGGGGCCCAGATGGGCAGATCCACCGAGACAGCTCACAGTGGGCCAGCTCTGGGAATGACCTGCCCTGAGGGCCAGGGGAGGGGGTGAGGGGTGGGAGGGTTCCTCCAGATGTGTGCCAGATCCATATGTGTTCTGTATGCATCTAGCTGGGTTTCTATCACTGGCTAATAAAGCTACAGCAACACGAACGGTTTGGGTCTACTTCTGGCCCTTTTTTGGGATTAGAATGTAATAGAATGGAGAGATTGTTTGTAGCTGAGGCATAGGCTTGCCTGGCCCATGAAGAATTGGGGGAGACAGGTCTATGTTTTGGTAAGATGGGGAGGTGGTTCCGCATTGACCACAGGAAGAGTGAGTGCTACTGTGGACAGTTACAGTGATTTAGCCACATGCATGCAAGCCTGGGGGTCAAGGGTCAGGCCTCCAGGGCCAAGTGAGCGAGGCAGGGGGAGGGTCTGAGCTGTGGCCGGAAGGTTGCATCGTGAGTGTGGCAATGGGGGAAGCCGGGGTGCATGGAGCATGGGGCGCCTGCTGTGTATGTGTCTCAGCATCCTCCTTCCTGCCCATGTGAGGCCACGGGTGCCCCAGAAAAGGCCAGGTGGGCTTTGCTTGAGAGCCTCAGGAAATCACGCCCCCTGCTCGGTGTCCGTCTGACCCCCTACCAGGGTGCAAAACGGAAACACACTCAGGCTGGCTCCAGGACGGGTCACTTCCCAGTGGTTAGAGAAGGTGCTGCAGCTTCTCACCCAAACCCCTTCCTCACCATGATTTACTTAGATTCTCTGGACCAAAACAAACTGAGTGCTGCTGGAGGGGTGGGGAAGGGATGGGGTGGCTGGGTGATGGACAATGGGGAGGGTATGTGCTATGGTGAGCGCTGTGAATTGTGTAAGACTGATGATTCACAGACTTGTACCCTGGAAACAAATACATTATATGTTAATAGAAAAAAAATAATGAATAAACTTTGCCAAAAGTTTAAAAAAAAAAAAAGTTTCTCTGGACTGGACTCTCAGTACCCCTATGTGGCCAGATGTTAACAGAATAAGCCCACCTCCAAGGGAAGATGGTCCAAATACCGATGCTGAGAAAATCCCTTTTTTTTTTCTTTGAAAATCCAATTTTTTGAAAGGGTTTGCGGTGGGGAATGTGACTTTCTAGAAGTCAAGTGCTGAAAAATCAAGAGTACTAGGATGAGTTTGCAAGCAGGCTTTTCCCACCCGCTCCGCCCATGCCTTCCCAACAGAACCCTAGAACCCGACAGAAAGCCCTGGAAACTTCTTGCTTCTCCAGTTCACCTCCCATGCTTTAGGCTGGTGTGGGTGGTACCACTGAGTAGCCCCAGGCACCTGACCCCCATGCAGAGAGGAAGCAAGACAAGCTCTCATTTGGGCCGCCACCCGCGGCACTCACCTGTCCACACGGGGAAAGATAGAGCTCCACACGGGGAAAGATAGAGCTGCCGTATCTGTTGTGCACTACTGCTGTGCGGAGTCACCAGAAACGTAGTGGCTTAAAACAACACAGATTTATTATCTTACAGTCTAGAGATCTGAGGTGTGAAATGGGTCTCACTAGGCTAACGTCAAGGTGTCAGCAGAGCTGTTTCTTCTAAAGGCATTAGGGGAGAATCTGTTCTCTTGCCTTTCCAGCTTCTAGAAGCTGCCCGCATTTCTTGGCCTGTAACATCATCTTCCTCCATCTTCAGAGCCAGTGATGTGGGCTCTCCAGCTGTTTCTCTGATTCCTCTGCCTGCCTCTTCCACTTATAAGGACCTTCGTGATTACACTGGGCCCACCTGGATGAGCCAGGCTAAGTGGCCATCTCCAGGTCAGCTGATTCATAACCTCAATTCCACCTGCAACCTTGATTCCCCTGGTCCACGTGAGGGAACATAGTCACAGTCTCTGGGGATTAGGATACAGACATCTTTGCGGGGTGGAGGGAGCATTCTTCTGCCTCCCGCGGCCTGCCAGGCTCCCCGACTGGGCTTTCTGGTCTCCACGAGTTGTAGCACACATGTCCCCTCTGAAATCCAGCTCAGCTCCTCAATGAGTATCAACAGGGTCATCAGGAGAAAGATGTCATTGGTGGACCCTCCCTCCAGGACTGGTATTTGGTCCCGAACCCCTGGTGACGCGAGGCTGAGACCTGGGATCCCATGAGTTCAGGTTGGTGGCTCTTAAGGGCACTGGGGGTTGCGTCATCAAACCTGAGTCCCAGGGCCCTTGGGTGCTGGTTCTCCCCCTGGAGACCCGCAGGAGGACCAGGATGAGGGCTGTGTTCTAGTGGGGGAAGCCCCGCTCCTGCACAATGCACTACGATTTCTCTGATGGAGGTCAGCCTTGACCCTGGAAAGGTTAGGATGGGTGTCTGGGGGAGGCTGAAGGTGGCAGCTCGGCTGGGCCTGTTATTTAAATCCCAGTGGAAGCTTTTCTGGCAACCTTATGAATTCTTCATTCATTCAAAATCTATTCAACAAGCATCTGCTGTTTGCCGGCAAAATCTCTAACCTCGGTTTCTCCCTAGGGAGATAGCAAGTAAAGAGACCTAGATCACTGGATCAGTAGAGGTGTGGAGTGTGGGGTGAGTGACAAGGAGGCCCGTTTTCCCAGAGCCCTACCATGCCCACCTTGGAGTGCAGTGCCCCTTACCCTTTCCCACTCCTCAGGGTCTGACTTAGGGGTGGGCAGAATGGAGTAGAACGTCCGCACACCACAGCCCCTGGGCAAAGCAGCACAGTACAGTGGGAAGGCCATGTGCCTCGGAGACAGACAGTCGGATGCTGAACTGGTACTTTGCTCTGAACCTCTCTGGGTCTCTTTTCTCCTCTGTGAAATGGGCGTCATAATCGTGCCCGCCTCACCAAGTTTACGCCTGGCTTCCGTGAGACTCTCCGTGGGGCAGAGCCTGGCACATACTGCGTGCTCAGTAAATGTTGCCTGTTGTTGGACAGGCTCCCTGGGCTGTCCTCCAGCCACTGCTGTGTAGCGAGCCCCTCATCCTGCCTTCTACCAGGGGGCAGAGACCCTCTCAGGCGCAGAGGTCAGACATGGGAGGGAGGGTAGGGAAGGTGTTCCAGGCAACTCTCAGAGGAAATCCTGCTGGTCTCAGCTGCTTGAGACCGACCCAGGAGGAGGCTCCGACCCAGACGGGGAGCAAGGGCCCGTCTTTCCTGTGCAGACCGACAGCTCTGGGTGACACCAGGCCTGCCGGACTCATGCTTCATTCCCAGTAGGGATAAGCAGCTGCAGGGCCTGGGCAGGCACTCGGTGAACTCTGTGGTCTCCTGCACCTTTGTCTGCAGCCCTGGAGGGTGGAGTGTCAGGCTGGGGCAGCTGGGGCTCCAGCTGGTCGACAGGACCGTCAGTGGGAGCCACTGTTCCCCACCAAATCAGCATCCTGCCTCGTCTCCCCCAGCCCGATGGCGGTGAGTGTGGCCCACGTGCCAGCACACACCAGACACCTGCCATGCCTCCTCTCATTTGCCCTTGACAGTGGGCTAACAGTCAGTACTGTGGTTACCATCACTTTATCGTCAAGGAAACTGAGGCACAGGGTAATAAAGGAACTTGCCTGGGTCCCAGAGCCATTAAGTGGGGAAGATAAGGTTTGAGCCCAGACAGGTGACCTCCAGAGCCTGGGTTCTCATGCAGCCACTGCCATGGCTCTCACCCCATCTGCCCCTGAGAGTCACCCGGGAGGCTGGAAACCAGCAAGGTGTAGTCTCCATGCTTTGAGGGTCTGCCTGGACATTGGGGTGTTGCATGGGGCTGCTGGGGGATTCTGACATGCAGCCAGGGTTGAGCATCCATGACCCGAGCCATATGGCCTTCCTGAGCCTCTCTGCTCCTCCCCCCACCTGGCATTCCTCTCTGCCGCAAGTTTGGGGGGCCCTGGGATCCCACACCACCTGGGCGGCAGGGTCATTTCCAACAACCAGACAGTTGCTGCTACGTGCGAGTTTTCTTGCAAGGCCAGTGGTTCTTAGGGTGCACACAAGATTCCCTGGGAGAGTCATTGAAAATACAGATGTCTGGGCACCCCCACCCGTCCCACCAGGCCTCCTGAGCCAACTCCCTGGGCCCAGCTGTCTGGATGCTGTAAAGCTTCCCTGATGGTTCTCATGGTTCTCCTGGTTCTGAGTTAAAATTCTGACTACTTTCTGTTCATCATGGCAACACCTAGACCCAGCGTGAACGTTT